GAGTGCTTTGTTAGACAATCATTGTTTCTAAAAGTTTCATAGTAACTTTTTGCATCCTGTGGAGTAATTTTATGATAACTGGGGCTCAGGAAGTTGGATTTCTTAGGCTAGAAAGACAAATTTCACTACCCGCCATGAGGTACCTTTTGTCAATTATGGTCACATATATGAATGTATTGTGTAACATGACTGAGTGTGTAAGATTGATTAATATAGAAGTGTATGTGTGTGTGTGTATAACATGTTTATTGACATGATTGTCTGTCTCTGTGTGTAAACTGATGTATGACTATATTTATTGTGACTGATAGTTCACTAGTACTCTATCAGTATAGCAGTGCTCTCCTGTCATTCACATTGCCTTTAATTAGATGCACAGTGCGTGATGTTATGTTGATATGTGTGGCTTCTGTTGTGAGGACAGGTTGAAATAAAGGGCAATTTATTTTGCTGATATGGCTACTTTTACTTTATTGATTATTATTTTCTCAGCTCAGTTTAGTCACTTAGTTTACTAATAATTTTGTATGAGGCTTAAATTTTATAATATATTTTCTGAATTATGATTATTTTAATGATAAATATTTTTAAAATACTAATTTTTCTAAAAATTGTCTATACTGAGTATAATGTGTATTCCTATTACATTATTGATAGGTTTGTTAGACTCGGGCTCTCGATCCCGTGATACCACTCCAGCTCCTGTCGATACAACAAGACTCCATACGTCCCCACCCTCTCAACCAGCTCTTACTAAACAGGAGATAGAGTCCAGTGTCGCTATAAAGGTCCTTCGTTCGGTCTCAAGTTCTCTCCTTCCTCCGTTACTCAATCAGTCCAAGGAGGAGTTCTCAGAGTCTCTTCATCGTGAGATTGTTGTGGCTATACAAAAAATATCGTGGAAAGTTGAGGCCTGCATTTCTTATACACACCCTGACCTTGATCTCAATATTCACAAGAAGATATTCGATGATACTCAAATTGGACTAGTCGGTGGAATGATGGTAGCTCCTCCTCCTGAGGAGCACAAGCTTCAAAACTCACCGGCCCACGTCTCGAGGCTAAGTACTAAGAACGTGACTACTCCTTCTCCACTACGTTTTGTTCAGAGTTATCCGGAACAGGTCGTGAGTTCTACACTGTCTTCTCCAACGCCTAGCGATGATGAGTATTTCCGTCCTAAAGCGATGCGAAGAACGACCGTGTCTATATCAAAACATCAAGTCCAGAGTCTTGGTCTCAATATTGTCGATGTGACGTCATTGGATAATACTTCACCGCAGTCACGTAGCAATACTATTGGTATCAGTACAGCTGCTAGACTAGTACAAGATGATGGCGTGATGGGCCTTGAGGCGATACGAGAGAAGGTTCTACGAAAGCTAGCCAAAGAGTTCCCGCAGCTTAAGACTGAGGCAGAGAGCATCGGAATGATAGATGAGTCTTCTTTGTCGTTGGCGCCACCTTTCCCTCACCTTTATAACGACAGGCGGAGCACCAGTACTCCTCTAACACTTTCACCTGCTCAATCAACTGGCAGTGTCACTAAGGACAGCAGTCCGGAGTTTGTTGCGAGTCCTTCTACCCCGGGTATCTCAAATCTCAAGGAACGCACTAAAAGTTTAGAGTTTGATTCTGTTACGGAGATAATGTCTCCGACCACACCCACTTCCTCTACCTCTCCCTTTCACCACAGTTCGTCAGAGACCCAGCTAAGAGGAGGTACTAGCACTCTGCCTTACAAGAGGAGGGGTACTTTGATGAAGATCATGAAGAAAGGAAGGAAAGTGAAGAGTTTTGGTAAAGCAGATACGAAAATAAAGACACGAGCAGCCATTCATTCTCGCTTAAAGTCTGGCTCTGAGTTTTTTTCAGGAGAGGATGAGTTCAAATCAGAATCCATCGAATTATATTCAAAAGGAGCTATCCCCACAGAACCTCCTTGCAGAGGTGATTAAAAGTTACTTTTCTTGTAATTGATTTGTTATTTTTCTCTCTCTCTTTCTCTATGCTGTTGTTGCAGATTCTTTTTATCTAAATATTGAAGTGCAGAGTAAAACAACTGTAACTTCACCGAGACGAAGGAAATTCTCCGTTTCTAGCAGTAAAGGTACGTGACACATGCAGCTTATAATGATTTAACAAGTAAATAATTGATTTATTTAAAAGAGAAAGTGCAGTTGTCTGCCTGGCTGATGTACATGTATTTCATTTATAAAACCAAAGCAATATCCTCCATCACATAAATATATCATTGTTATGTTGTATAAACTTAACTTAGTATAAGTTTATAGGATTATTAAAAATTACATAACAAAAAGTGTAGCTTTGTTATTTTTGAGTTTGTTATGTTATTCACTTGACAATATTGCAGTGTGTGTGTGTGTGCATGTATATATTATTTGCATATGTGGACACATGATACTGTACTGGTATTTTGAGCCCATATTTGGTAGTGTGACCTCTAAACTAATCCAGCTGTGATTACTTTGAGTAGTTAACGAATACTCAGCAGCTGTTTTTTGGTTTCTTGGATTGATCTGATGAGTAAATGTATCTACAGATAGACACTCACCCACACATAGTGCTTGAACACCTGTTGGAGTACTATACTGACTCTTCTTCTCTTATGTCATCTCACCTTTCCTTTCTATTTTATCTTTTTTTTTCCTCTACAGCCAGTCGACCACTTTTATCAATGGACATAAACATTAACACTAATTTCCCTGAAGTAAATTATTATAACATGTGGGGAGTGTAGGGCTTAATTGTTGAAACTTTGGCATTTAACAGAAATTTTGTAAAAATTAGTACCAAATTTTGACTGATTTTAAAAAATTTTAGTCCTCAAAAATTACCCAGTGTATTTTTGATACATTTCTTCTCTTCGTGTAGTTTGATCTTCAAGACTATGTTATTACCAGGTCTTTGAAAGATGTAACTACACTCTATGACATATTTGCTGTCACAACAGTTGCTGGTAATGGCCGTCTAGCATTTCTCTTAACTTTGTTTTGTTCTCTTTATTGTAGCTAGTAATCTTCCAGGCAGACCTGATAAGAAGAGCAAGGATTGGAGGCAACAGTCTGAAGCATTCTTAATGTATGTAGCTCAGTCACAGGAACTTAGAAATATTCCAGAATTTATGGAATTCATTAAACCAGGAGATATGACTGGTTAGCTGCTT